AATGGTTGGGTGGTTTTGGCCCTAATTACACTGTGCACACCAATACAGGAGAGACCTGCCGATCACAAAGTAGCCATCATATATGCCGCTCAGAATAATTAAAGGAACACTTTAATCAGAGTATAGCATCAATATAATTAAACTTCTGGGATATTAATCTGATCTGATCAATTTCAGGTAGGTTGGTGTTAATGAAATTAAGAATAGCTGCACTAGAGCAGGATGTTTTTTTCTAGTTTTGCATTTGACCAGGGTCACTGTCACTATGGTAGCATGGTAGTCCAACTCCTCCAGGATGTGTTTATTAATGGTCAGAAATAGTTAACACAGATTCATTGTTCTAACTAAAAGATATGACTACAAAGTAGTCCCGTGTACAGACTCAAAAGCATTGTGTCTGACAAGCAGCATCACAGCCATACGAGGCCTGCTCCCTTCTTATTGCATGACAAATCAAGAAGATCGGGAGCGGAGTCCAAGGTTGAATTTGTATCTGATAGCAGCTTACTCTCAATATGAGGCCCAACGAGATTTTTGATGCAAGTGAAGGACATTAAAGTGAAGAGAATTAAATGTAAAATTATGCGTATTCAAATATTCTCCTTGTATAAACAAGCTTCTCTCAAGGTCTCATAGTGAAAGTGATTTCTGCAAGCAGAAGAGGGAATCCTAGTGTTTCACTGGTAAATCAATACAAGGAAGGAAGGATGGAGGGATTCGTGAATGCAAAGAGGGCGGTGTTTTATGTCAGACATAGCTTTATAAATAACAGAGCAATAATCAGCATCTTCTCTTGTAAGGTCTTCAATAGGTGGACTCCTCCTCCTCCTCCTGGAGAGGAGAGATATTTAGGGGCTGGTCTCATGTGGACTGTGGTAACACTGTTGATGTCAGGGACAGCATAAAAAGAAAAATACAGAGGTCCGAAGAACAATGGCAGAGCTTAATTACTGTGGTTTAACAGTTTTTCTAAAATATGACAAAATTACAGGATTTCTTTATACTAGATGAATCGAATTGCTCTATTTAAAAAGAATAATTATAGCTTTTTTTAATAGTTGAGTGCACCTGAACAGAAAATATTTTCAAAACTCAAAACTGACTTTTTTACTAAACCCAGCCCATCCTCTGTTTATCTTTAAAGCCGTATAAAGGCTTTTAATGCACAAAATGCTGGAGACGAGCCCCTCTGTGCCTCCTGCGGAAGAGCCATCATTACTGCTCCGTTCCTCAGGAGAAAAACTCCAACGTTTCCCTCTCTGTGGCGTTGGTATGGATGCTGAAAGGTGGAGGCACAGGGAGCGCCTCAGTGCCCTATTTAACCAAAGAGGCAGCGGCCTGTAGAGAACCCAGCTTAGCATCCTGTCTGTACTCGACCACCGAGCCCCTCAAACAACATCCCAGTCTAGTGGAAGCCTCGTATAGATGAATATATGAATCCACCTTTTGTGTTTCTTCTTGGACCAAATATTTTTGTGTCTTCTCTTATTATTGTGAAACTAAAGAGTTAACTTATCTTAAGTTATCCCTTTAATGTGGCGATTAGACAAACACCCTGCAGAGAGCTCGCCTCCTTGTTAAGGTCAACTAAGACATATGCTCCTATTAATTCACATGTTACAATCAGGGCATCTTATTACCGACCAGGTAATTTCATTGGATGAATTTGTGGCATTTATTTTTTTGAATCAAGCTCATGTTTTGGATCCAAATAAACAGCTTTCCCCAATCGGACCACTGCACTGGGCAACGAGTACTCTTGTAGATCACATTGTGTATTCAGTACTGGTAGGGCACCAGTACTGAATACACAATGATATGGAAATAGTAAAATAAAACTATTTTACCTCTGACACACAGCTAGACACGGCTCTGGGTCAGTGTCTAGGTCTCTGAAATGATCTGTCTCCTCACATGTGGTCCCATCCTGACATACTATCAATTCCTGGATCAAACAATGAACTGCTCTCTACACTTGAGAATTAGAATAGCGAATGAACCCACAGTCTCCGTTTCTTCCTTTTCTTGTGTAGAAACAGGATGAGCTCATCATGGCTTGATGTGGACTTCATTGTTTTCACAGTGAATTTTTTGAGGACGAATTTTCCAAAAAAACCCACATTTGTCACGTGGGTGTGGTATATGTATGTTGCGTGTACATCGTGTTGCATTTTTGAAGTGTGCTCAGTGTGTAAAGATCTTTTGACGTGACAATAGCTGGCTAAACAACTCATCTTTCTCTGTGATACAGCGCCCTGGACCATGTGATGACACTATGCTGCTGCTCCCAAATATGTAGCTTGGGTTGGAAGTAAGGCCCTGCTTCTTTTATTGTGTTGCTGTTGTTTTTCCTCATTTTTTTAGAAGGTAAAATTAGCCGGTGCGGCTCACCAATCAGCTCACCCTGTCTGTGTCTTGTTTTTCATTCATCCCAATGCTCCAGTGGACTATTAGTATGATGTGGCTTATCAAATATGTATGCGAATCTCAAATTCTGATCTCACCAGCACAGAGATCCAGAGTAAAGTGCATTTGACCTCTCAGGGGTACCGCAGTTTCTGACTGTATGAAAATGATGACATTAGTAGTTGATTTACGTATCAGTTGCGAAGGTTTACCGCCTCCATCTTTTTTAAACTGAAGTAAAGCCCGGTAACGTCATGCTGGATTTAAGAGCTAAGGATTGTGCTCGAGTCTGATGATTGCTCTCAGAGTTTACGACGTTAGCATGCTTCTCTACTTGTGATGATTTTTTTTTATCACTTTGTGGGAAGGATTTTTTAGAGGAGTGAAGACGACTCATGATGAAGACTCGTTAAAGAGATGTCTCACAGAATAATAATCAATAACTGACCTAAAAGTAATTTCAGTGGGACACGTGTGAGTTTAAACAGCTTAAAGAGCTGCACAAGAAATGTATTACAGATGGCTGAAATTTGTTTAGGCAGCAGAATAAAAAATATGTTTTTTATATTTTCCTGCAGGATCACAGCAAACAATACTATAGAGATATGATCATCTTGGCAGGCCACAAAATTAATGTATATATTTAAAAAAATGCTCTGCCATTGAAGGACCGTTAAAGCTTAGGGAATAAACAAAAGACTGCAGGATGTTTTCCTTTGTTTCATAATGACAGCAGCACCTCATTGCTGCTAAAGCGATTTTTCAGCAGAACAATGAACCCCTACTGTACCCGCTCCAGAGGTGCTGGGCTGCAGCTCATCCAGGCCTGTTGGGGTTAGTAATACAGGAAGTAAAACGTTAGCAGGCACACTGTGAGTTGAGCTTCGTATATTTGAGCTTATTTGTATTTACACTTGGAAAATGGGCACCAATAAAAGCAAATACCATTTCCTATATGGATGTAATGAATGTCATTAACATATTTGAACGTGTTTTCTTTCCATTGTCCTTTGGAAGTGGCACCGAATACCTAAAAATACACGTGTCGCGTTTGGGAGAGTTTGAGAGCGAGTGCTGTTTCTGACAGAAATTTCTGGTCTAAACTTTCCCAACTGTTTCAGACCACCTGCAAAGGCACCCGTCTCTTTGATCTCAGGCAGTGTCTCTGCTTCGCGTCTCTCCCCTTGTGCCCTCCTGGGGTGCCGAGGCTCATATTTTGAAAACCTCAGCTCTACAATGAAAATGTAACTGACATAAAACAAACGCGGTCTCGACGTACTCGAGTCAAGTCTGACAATCGTGAAAAGGAGAAAAAAATACATCCAAAGAAAAGTCAGAAAAGTGCGCTCACATCAACGTGAAGATAAGGAGCTGAAGTTTTCCTCTGAAATAAAAACGGCACTGGGTGAGTAATTGCTCCCTGTATTTCTATCGATTTCTGACAATATTAAGATACATTTAAACTAAAACTGCTTGCGGTTACTAACCCGACCATCCATCCTCACACGGCAGTGTGAAATCATCTTACTTTCTTAATTCGGAAAATATATTAACACATTAATGCTTTTAGGGCCACTGTGCTGTTATGAAATATGTCAGCATTTAAAGCCGTGATGTGGAGAATTTTATGTGATTATAGCATCTTTCAAATTATTTCATGTCATAACTTTTCTTTATACTGAGAAACGAGACTATCCCTTTAAAACGGGTCCAGCTACAGACTTATTTTGCAGAGCATTTATCTTAATCGGGGTGTCAGAGTCAGAAATGGTCCGGTTCTAACTAGAGCTGCTTTCACCAGCAACTTGGTCCATCGGATGTCGTAATATCGAACTGTTTCAAAGCAATTTGCGGTCCTCTGGGTACCTCCTGGGGATTGAATCAAATTTGAAAATAAGGAGACAATGAACAGACCACACAACGCAGTAAGTAAGAAGTATATAACCAAGTGTATTCCCTCTGTTAATGTACACATATTTAGAGTCATCTCACTGGAACACTTTACAATAACATTTAGAAAGAACAGGAAGATACTGGGAGAGTATGCTCAGAATGGAGAAAGAGAGAAACCAGACAAACGTGGCAGAAGAGAGTAACGACGGAGCCCGTCAAGTGAAATGACTACCATCTCGTCTCTCGCCATATAGACAGAAATAGATATAAAAGAAATTAAAGTAAATAAAAATCAGAGGATGGATAAAACCTGCTTTCCTCACAGGGTACGGGGACATACGATCTCTACAGAGAAAAAGGAATGCATGAAGAACAAAGAAAGAGGCTAAGGATGACAGATGGAGGATAAAAGAGGACGTTTTCTCCTCTGGAAAAGGAGAATGCATGGTTTCATGTTCATAACCCAAATCATATTTGCTCAGGTACCAAAAGAAAATACATAGAAATTTCAGTTTCCCAGAATCATAGTTATTTTTTTTTCTCCAAACAGGAATGATAGTAGGGAAAACACATTTCTCTTAGTAATGGGATGAAAGTCAAATATTTAGACATTTCACAAACTTTTTTCAGAATTTTTCTTTTCATGGTACAGTTTTCTTTTCTTAATAGACTTGAGAAAATTGGAATACTAGAGTTCTGTTGTACATCTTCCAGGGAACTGCTGTTCTCCTTTTATTTGTGCGCTCTTCCCATTAAGTTCGCTTTGCCCGCGGGCTGCCGTCAGTCCAGTCAGGCTAGAGAGGGGCGAACGACACGGTTGCTCTTTTTCAGCTGCTGCAAGGTATCTCTCTCCACAGTGGAACTCCAACACGAATGAATTCAGAATCTCCCTAAAATGTCTTTCATTCCTCCAGAAATGAAAAGAAATTTAAAAAAAGAAAAGAAAAGAGCAAACCAAAGTGACTGAGTCTTGCAGCAAGGCATTCCATCAGCCGCACTGTTCATGAAGGAGGAGGCAGGGGTCTGAGGAGCGGGGGGGTTGGACGGTGAAGCTGTTCAAGAATCCTATCTTTTGCTGTGCACGTCTCAGCAAACGCACTTTTCGATTCGTTCACATAGGTCCATATGTTTCTGCAACGTCTATACATATATTTATAATTATATAGAACAGAGTTCATCTTGTTTGCTGGAGGTTTTTTCTGTTTTTCCGGTGATTAGTAACTTGTAAGGACGTGACAGTTTCTCTGCTGGCCCACTAGGGGGCACCTCAGAGCCCCAGATACACATGACACAGATCTGCTGGAACAAAGGACGACCAAAAGGGGTGTTTTTTTTGGCCTCGATGAGTTTTTGGCGGCTAAACGTACAATTTAGCATCCGTTAGGTTGGAGCGGTGGCATCTCACGTAGTTGCTACTTTTAATGTTGTTACGATCGTCAGTCATCGGCGTCATATTTTTTTTTTCGTTTTTTAAACTCCACAAAAAGGAAAAACTGTTTATCTCTTTTTCGTAAATGAATACTACATGCTTGAAACACGGCAGAGTTTACATTGCATCGGCTGCTGGGCACCGTAGACAAGGAGAGAAACAGAGTTCGTGGGTGAACGAGAAGGAGAGAGAGAGATCCGATGAGAGGCGAGAGATCGGAGGTGTCGAACACTTACAGAGGTGGAGGAGCTGGATTTGACACAGTGTTTCTCTAAGCTGGCAGTATATTGATCTGCTAATTCGAGCCTGGTTGGAAAAAAATATATGTTTGATACTGTCTAAGGTGACGCAGGTTCTCCTCAGAATCAAGTACAGGCCTTGACACAAATACTGATGGCGATGCTTTCCTACAGTACTCTGGATATTAAGCAGCTTGTCAAATGCTAACCCATGAATCACTGCTTTATCAGCATTTGCTACGTGGTTGTTGGCACGGTATGTGTAGAGATGTAATAGCCTTTCCTTAAATCCACACTGTGTTTAGCACTAAATGCAACTGAAGTTTAGTCTAATCAATCAAAGCAATGTGGAAATGTGTGAGGAGAGCTGTGATGTCACTGTGCCATCTCGTTTTGCTGCCTCCCTCTGATTCGAGATGAACTGGTAACACGTATGAGCACCTGACAATACTTGAAGTTTGAAATGAATTAGCCACTGTGATGTGTTTGCAGTTTTCCCACATACTGCCTTCTCTCCCTCCTTCTCCCCGCCGTCTCTTTCCTTTTCTAAGTGCTCTGCTGTCTGCCCCTGTGTGTCACGGCGGCACTCCCTCAGACGTAGTACTCTTTGTCTTTGTTCTTCTTGTTCTTGGTGACCGTCTTGGCAGTGCTGGGCTGTTTCTCCTTCACCAGGGCCCCATTGCTCTGTGTGGCTGAGTTGCTAATGTAGTTACGGCTCTGGTCCACCTGATAGGAGCCCTCATCGCGGTTGCGGTACTTGTACATGGCGTACAGCAAGATGAGGATGCAGAGGGCAGCGGCTGCCACGATGCCCACCACCATCCCGGTGGTGCTGCTCGACTGCTGCACTTCCACGGCACCCGGGAGCCCTCTCTCTGGAGACGTGGGGTCTGGAGTGGGAACATGAGGGAAATTTGGGGGATAGGTTATACCTGGGACTCTACGGTGGCCTGGATCCAAAGAGGGCTGGGCCGGCGGCAGCAGCACTTGGTCCCGGGTGTTCATTTTCCCGGCAGGGATGTTGTTGCTACTACTGCTGCTGCCGCCGCCGGCTGACTTGATGCGCGGGTTCAGCTGGTCGGGGTTGGCTGTGGGGGTGGAGGAGAGAGGGGGGCGGGAGTTGGGGAAGCGGGAGAAATGGCGGTCTCGGGGGTTTTGGACGCCACCTTCGACGGCCGGGGGAGGGGGGAGGACAGTCCTGTCGGTGACCAGGGCGGAATTTTTGTAATAGTCCTCGTCATCTGACTCGGTCATCTCCCCCGAGCCGTACGCCGACACCTCGATGGTCTCCTCGCAGTCCTCCTGGTCCAAGGGGCAAGGGGGCCGGCCGTTGGGCAAGGGGAGGGATTCTTTGGTGGTTTCAAGCAGGGTGAGGAAAGGGCGGTAAGTGGTGGGGGGCGGGGGTATTACTGGGTAGTGGGTGGCGATAGATGGGGGGTCTAGGGAGTCCACTGTAATAATGGGCAACACTAATTCACCTCCTAGGACAAGAAAGAGACAACGAAGGAAAAGAGTGTTAGAGACCACCCGAGGGAGAGACGACTTCCAGATCAACAGAAGAAAGACAGTTCAAATGTTACAGAAACACCAGTATTAGAACAGCACTACAGCTTAACATGAGGTTAGTTCTACAAGTTTAGTCTGTGCTATTTAAAAAGTTAATATGCTGACTGACTTTGAGCTGCATTATAAAACAAGATGTAAGAATATACTCTAGCCTGCACCTGCTCCTCACTGTTCTGACCTATTTCGCTGTGCTGCATATTCCTACATGTCATATCACTAACACAAGGTAAAAGCAGACTACAAATTACACTGAACAACGTAACATCTATTGTACTACACAGCCTAACCTTCACTGCTAACCTTTCTAGTCCTACCTACGCTGGCTACGCTAGCGCTCAGGTGTTTCTGCTGTGATTGGTTAAATAAGATAGCAAACCACGAGGTTCAGGTCACTTACATCAACAAATTGGCCGCATGATTTTTGCATGAAAAAAAAAATTACAAAAAGAAAGCTGTGTAAGATTGTTCTCGGATAGTGATAAACAACTCCCCTCCCCTCCCCACCCCCACCTTTGTTTACCTCCTCTCCACTTTTGTTTCTTTATTGGGTGAAAAATAATCAGAATGTAACAAAAAAAAAAGAATAATAATGTATTGTTGCATTATTCACTTGTTCTCCCCTCCCCCCAAATTCACATGAAGAATTGTCTCAATCCTGTTTTCCCCTTTTGGGCATGGTGGCTTCTATGGCTCATTTCTAATTAGCTTAATCTGTATGCAAACCCTCAGGAGCGGCTGCAGAAAACTGATGCCTCTAATTCTTAACCCAAACTCTCAGTGCAACTACACTACAGCGCACTGAGTAACAGAGTATTAAATAATACTGCTCGGTTTTTTTATCATGACTCCCTCATGCCCACTTCCCTCCCAAACACCACACGTTAAACATGGGGGAATGATGTTCTTTTCAAACAGCCATCAACACAAATAACATTAAAAAAAAAGGTCTTAATGAGCCAGAATTTCAGTTTAAGCCTCAGTTATGCAATTTTAGCCCAGTGTGAAACAAGCTTCGACTTTGCTTCAGTTCAGATTATTGGGGGAAAAAGGTGCATTTAAGAGGAATCCTTGTATCATAGACTGAAATGGTTAGACATATCAGGAGTGTGTTAACAGGAAATAGAATATTAATAGCAGTAAATTTACACACTCAATTTTCTGTCCAGTGTTGCAAAAGGGTCAAGTAAAGGAAACAGTTGAGAAGTATTGCAGAGTGAATTAGATTACAACACATCTTGGAGGGGGACAAAAGGGAAGGTAACAGCAAAACATAAGCAAAGAAATGCCAACATCACCAGCATAAAATCATGACTCTGGCTCTGTGTTCGATTGATGAGGTAAACCAGGGAGACTCAGTGGGAGAGAGCGGCTGGATAAGGCGTTTCAGGAATGAATGGGAAGGGAGGGGATGGTTAATAGGAGGTTCTGGGATTGTAAGAATTCCTCTGTGGCCTTTATTCAGCTCGGCAGCACTCAAACACCCCCAAACCCATTGGTCAGTTACAAAACCCCCACATTTTCACTTAAAGAATGGCAAAGGCTTTGTTAAAAAAAGGTAATGCATTGGGTTAACAAAGCCACTGCGACATATCAGCATATAACAACACACGTGAGAGAAACGCCTTGAAATAAAGCAAAAATGTGAGAGCTGTAAAGGAGAAAGAAACTTAGTAATTCTTCAACCTTTCTAAGTTATTATTTCACCACCACTACTGGAAAGGCTAGTTTCCATGGCAATGCTCAAGTTATTTCTCTCCCATACATTTTCTGTCTGTGTTTGAGGGATGAGTTTCACCTTGAAGGCGAGAGGACAGCAGAGTGTGGCGGCACATTTGAGGAACAAAGCAGATTCCCTTCGAGTAGGATTTCCCCCAGTGCGTTCAAAAGAAAGAAAGAAAATATTGGGTTTCATAAAATAACTCGTCAAAGTCGCTCCAGCGAGGGGGGGTGGGGCCCAACGATTTGGGAACGCAGAGAAGATCGTTTCTTAGAGACACAGGACGCATGTGCGAGTGAGGGTGACGACGAGACGTTAGCGCTGCTATCTTTACTCTGCCGTCTGTCCGCGTGGCACAGATGCTGCGAGTGCAATTTCAAGCTTCATACCTGCTGCTCGGTGTGCAGCCTGCCCATTACTGAGAAGCTACCTCTGCTCACAGTGCGTCCTACTTACTGTACGTGCGGCTGACATGGCAAATAGATGCCCCTGTTACAATAAACATTTGATGTAATCCTCAGGAATCAGGACCACTGTGCTTCTCTGCTTAAAGTCTGGCTTATAGGAGCCCCTCGGAGTGACGCTTACAATGGTTATTAAATATTTACGGGAGGCTCAGAGTCATCATGCACAAGTGTACATAGAAAGGATTGTTCAAGCAAGTGACCCACATCGCTCTGCTGTCCTCTTCGTTTTTAGGAGCCAAAGCCTGAAGGCCTCATGGCATTATCCCATATGACTGGCAGGCAGCAGCTCCTAGCAGAATAATGAACCTCAGCCCTCATACACAGAGTGAGCCACATGTCAGACCTCCAGGCAGTTATCAAGTGAAACATCTTTTCATTTCCTGTTGTGCGACCTAAGCCTACTGCACCAATATTTAAAACCAATCAGCAACTTCAATTGGCTTTCTGACGCTGCACTGTGCGGTCCCTGTATGCAGCTCTGGTGCTGTTAACAGCCAGGTTGGAAGGTGGGGTGGGGTGGGTGGGGGGATACATGTCACAAATATCCCTGCATGTGTTCTCCTGCTGAAAGCTGCCAAGAACCACAGACTGATGTAAACCCGAGGAAACCCAGGAAAGTGAGCAAAAAATATTTAGGTGAATGCGTATTATTTTACATCAAAGCCATCAGACCCAAACTGGGATTTACTGAGACCAGTTCTGATGCCAAGAAAAAAATTAGGCATGATTCCCACATGTGGAGGTCTGTTTCTTTAACATTCCCACTCTGTCGTTTCAGCGTTAAAGCGGGAGAGACTCAGATATTCAGCCTGATTGATTGAGTTTGACTCTGTTGATTTGAACAGCTGAGGCAGACGTTTAGTCCACAATGATGAAATTTCTTTATCTTTACCCGCATGCCTCTCCACTGCGTTGCCAGTATGAGTCACCCCCACCCCTCCTATTTACTCAAAATAAGCACAGGGAAGATGGATACTGATGCATCCACGTCGGTCTCCTGACAAATATCGTTATTCTGCTGATCACATCACCCCGCTCACATCCATTTGAAATATTTAGAGCAAAAAGGTTGTTTGGAGTTTCAGCATTCTGCAATTCAGCTTCGATTAGGCTGCAGATGGAAAATCTAACTGCGTGTCCGAGCATAATATATTATCCCTTTCTTGCTTCTGAATCCTGCTACAATAGGTGGCCCTATAATCGGTGCAGGGAACAAACCTGCTTCTTTATATGCGGGGCTCTGTAAACTGCTGCTGCTGCTGCTCTCAGGTGCAGTGACTTGTTTTGACAAAAAAGATATGATGCCCTGCTCATATTGTATCTCACTCAGAGTCACATATTGTGCAGCGATAAAGTCTCCAGTCTCCAATCTCCATGAAGACATTACCATATCAGAGGTTCAGACAATCTGCAAACCATCATGTTTCTCCACGGTGCTCCGGGGCATTTGTTTACAATCTGAAGCTAAAGCGCCCAGATTTCCTACTCAGAATGCAACACAAGGAAAAAGGCCATCCTCCCTAAAACATTTGGTTCTAATTAGAATTTCAAAAACCACTTTTGTGTAGTTTGCAGAATATGTATAATTTTTTTTGTAAATGACAAAAATGCACCATTGACCAGTAATGAAATAAAATGGTTACAGGCATGTGAATAATGTCGAGTAATGCATTCTTCGCTTGTGCGATTAGGCTGACTGAGCACCTCTGCAGTGACTGGGTATCCCGACTAAGACTGTGATCCATATTTTTGGTACTGTAAAATAACTCTGCTAATTAAAGACAATCACATAAAGCCCTGCAACAGACTGGCAACATGTCCAGGCTGTACCCTCCGTCTCGCCCTATGGAAGCTGGGAGACGTTTCATTATAACTCATGCAAACTCAAGCATTCATCATGGAGCTGATGCAACCTTTACTCAATTGCATTATTTTTTTCCCCACAGAAAATGATCAAATCAGAAGGCTCGTTCCAAATCGGACCAATCAGACACAGTAGGGGTAGAGGCTTGGACAGTAACACTTGTCTGAACCCTGAAAGGATGATGTACCTCTTAGAAAACATCCTGTCATGCAGGTTCAAGCATCCATACTGCTCAGGATCCAACCCGTGGAACCTATATTGATAAACTTGGGCCTGTTACTAGCTAAGAGCGATCAATAAAGCATCACCCTGACAAATAACTAACACCCAAACCCATCGACTTGGCTCTGAGTCACATTGAATGCGGAGGGGGGCCAAGAGGCTCCAGGTCATCCCTCATCTATCACCCAATCTCTTATTTTCACTCCTCGGCCTAAGAAGAGCAATTCGTAGGTTGTCTCTATAGCATGCTGTCTGATGAATTATTGAGGAGCTCCTCAAAGCTCTGATCTCGTCAGAGTAAAACCGATATAGAGCCTACAACATCCTGGGACTGATAAGTAGCTTGGAGAAAAGCAAAGTGAGGTCATGTCGGGGTAGAGAACAGACAGAACATGATATATGGAGACAAAAAGACACAGCTTTAATGTTGGACGGATAGAATCTCAATAGGTTTGTTAGTGTGAAATATAGTTGTTATATGTGTAGCAAATGAGTGTCCATATGCATCTTTGGAGACTCTTTCCTGTCTGTTCATTTTCTGCTCGGTATATTGAGCTTTGTAATCGAGGTCCACATTTCCTAGCGCTTGTCACCCTTCTGACAGAGACTCATTACAAACACTGAAGTATCGAAACCATAGCTCTAATTGGGTGATGTAATTAAGGCTCTCTAACAGTCAAAGTTTAATTAGCCTGGTGGGAACGCCAGGAATCGTTCATGGGAATTTCACTCTCGCCTTCACTTCCTCTTCCTTCTCTCTCGCAGGCTCCCTCTGTACCTCCGCTTCTCTCCTCTCCCCATTCCTCTGTTCTGCTTTGAGCGCAAAGGAACGTGACGCACATCTCAATGAAAGCCAGTCCTTCCCGCTCGTCTCCTCCTCAGGTCTTCTTCTCTGCACCCTGTGCTTTTGTCTATTTTGCATCCACTCTGAGCTTGTCAGCAAATGTGCAACAGCAGCTACCCCTCAATCACTGTCTGAGCGTTTCACGTTGAGGACTCTCATTTAGCGTGACACAGCCAAAACACTCCTCCACCAAATGCAGTTGTGGAAAAAAAGGGAAAAGGAAAAAACAAGCTGCTTGAATTGTGTGTTGTGGTGTTACCAGCTGCAGGTAAGCAGATGGAGCTCAGCTGATTGTGTATATGAAGGAGTTGTATCGATCCTCATCAATTCATAACCATTGCATCTAGCTTTGCTTACCAGAAAATCCACAGCTGCCTTTAAAACGTTTCTCTCCTCCTTTCCTGAAGGCAGTTCAATAACAGCGAGCCGAACACTCACATGTAATTGAAAACACTGGGAATTGGTCCTATCACACAATGACTGAAGGCCTGTGTTTGTGCAGCAGTGATGGAGGGGGAACATGCTTTGGAGACAATGTTGATTCTGCTCTCCTCGTCCACAGTTTTCACAGAGGCTTATCCGACCCCGCCGGCTCGCTTCGCTGGAACTCTCGTGGCATCTGGAAGGTGTGATACAGAGCACGCGCGCGCGTGTGTGTACGCACAAGCGCGCTCATTGTTGCTCGGGAGAGTCGGAGGCAGAGAGAAAACTTTACACCCACGGAGTGAGAGAGACAAGTGCCTGTGTGGAAAGGTGAGCATGTCAGACACCGTATGTGTGTTTGTGGGGGCGTGTGAGAGAAAGAGAGAGATAGTGAGTTGCATTTCCTCATGGGAGATTAAGCCTGGACATAGCATCCAACCAAAAAAAACTCTCATTTCTTCTTTTGATAAGAGGGGGATTGAGTCTCTATTTCAGTCCCAACCACCTACAGAGAAAACTGCAGGAAAATGCTGCACTCAAGTTTCTCAGCACTGGTTCAGATCAGGTTCTCCTAACACAAACATACTGATAAATGTTGTAATCTGCTGCCATTTACAGTCCACCAGTCAAACCACTAATCCACAATCCTACAACAAACTTTTACACAGTTA